TTTCATTTTTTGGTATCTTCTTCTATTGCTTTCTTTAATGTTTTGTAATTCTCATTGTAAAGATCTTTGAAATCCTTGGTTCAGTTTATTGCAAGGTATTTGATTGTTTTTATAGCTAATGTGACTGGGATTGATCTTACAAGTTCTTTCTCAGCCATGGCATTGTCTGTGTACAGAGGCTGTTGTTTTTTGTGTGATGATTTTATATCTTGCTACTTTACCAAACTCTTCTATGAGTTCCAATAGTCCCTTGGTGAAGTCTTTTGGATCCTCTGTGTATAGAATCATGTCATCTGCAAATAGGGATAGTTTGACTTCCTCTTTCCTGATTTGAATCCTTTTTTCAATTCTTTTTCTTGTCTAGTGATTCTGGCTAAAACTTCCAGGACTATATTGAATAGCAATGATAAGAGTGGGCATCCTTGTCTGGTACCATATCTCATTGGGAATGCTTCCAACATTTCCCCATTCAATATGATGCTGGCCATGGGTTTGTCATAAATTACCCTAATTGTGTTGAGGAATGTTCCTTCAGTACCCAGTTTGCTTAGAGTTTTCATCATGAATAGGTACTGTATTTTATCAAATGCTTTCTCTGCATCTACTGAGATAATCATACGGTTTTTGTTCTTCAGTTTGTTAATGTGATCTATCCCATTGATTGATTGGTGAATGATCTTTCTGATGTGTTGTTGGATTCAGTTGGCCAGAATTTTGTTGAGGATTTTTGCGTTGATGTTCATCATACATGCAAACTGGGAAATTGGTCTGTAGTTCTCTTTCTCTGTTGCATCTTTTCCAGGTTTAGGAATTAAGGGGATGCTGGCTTCATTGAAAGAATTTGAGATGATTCCCTACCTTTCAGTATTTTGAATAGCTTGAGAAGAATTATAATTCTTTAAATGTCTGGTAGAATTCAGCAGTAAAGCCATCTGGTCCTGAGCTTTTCCTTTTTGGGAGGGTCTTTATCACTGATTCAAATTCCATCTTGGTAATGGGCCTGTTTAGGTTTTCTATGTCTTCATGGCTCAATTTAGGTAGGTTGTATGTGTCCAGGAATCTATCCATTTCTTCTAGGTTTCCCAGTTTGTTGGCATACAGCTCTTTTTAGTAATTTCTGATGATTCTCTTTATTTCTGTAGTGTCTGTTGTTACATTTCCTTTTTCATCTCCAATTTTATTGATTTGAGTCTTCTCCCTTTTTTTGGTTAGTTGGGCCAATAGTTGTCAATTTTATTTTTTTTTTTTTCAAAAAAACAGCTCTTCATTTTGCTGATCTTTTGTGTTTTATTTCTGTTTCAATTTTGGTTATTCTCTAATTATTTCTTTTATCCTACTAGTTTTGGGTTTATTGGCTGTTATTTTTCTAGATCTTTGAGATGCATTGATAGCTTATTTATTTGTCCAATTTCTTGAAGTAGGTACCAACTGCTATAAACTTTCCTCTCAACACTGCTTTTCCTGTACCCCATAAATTTTGCTATGTTGCTTTTTTCTTTGTGTCTTTGTGATTTAGTGGGACGTCTATACTTTTAGTGAGTTCCAAGAGGTGTGTGCTGGATGTGGCCTGGTTGCTATCTTCAGTATTCCAGGGTGGAGCGGGTATCCAATGTAAGGCTCCCATAGGGCTTTGTAGCTTTCCTCTGGTTTTTTGGTTAGAGGGGGTTGTTCACTTCTGTTGATATAACCTACCCTTTTCATCACAGTTGTGGGATGCCCCTGTGTTAGTCTCTGGTGTGTTCAGGGTTATATCGCCCTGTTTAACGAACTGCACTTCTAATCTTTGGAGATTTTCTTGTGGTGAGGTTTCCTTTTTTTTTGTTTTGTTTTTGCTTTTCTTTTTTTTAATTTATTTTTATGTAGTAAATATAAAATTTCAAAGTACAGTTAATGGATTACAATGGCTCTCCCCCCTCACAATTTCCCTCCCACTCACATCCCTCCCATCTCCTGCTCCCTCTCCCATTCCATTCACATCAAGATTCATTTTCAATTATCTTTCTATACAGAAGATCAATTCAGTATATATTAAGTAAAGATTTCATCAGTTTGTACCCACACAGAAACACAAAGTGTAAAATACTGTTTCAGTACTAGTTATAGCATTACTTCACATTGGACAACACATTAAGGACAGATCCCACGTGAAAAGTAAGTACGCAGTGACTCCTGTTGTTGAATTAACAATTTGACACTCTTGTTTATGGCGTCAGTAATCTCCCTAGGCTCTAGTCATGAGTTGCCAAGGCTATGGAAGCCTTTTGAGTTCGCCGACTTCGATCTTATTCTGACAGGGTCATAGTCAAAGTGGAAGTTCTCTCCTCCCTTCAGAGAAAGGTACCTCCTTCTTTGATGGCCCTGTTCTTTCCACTGGGATCTCACTCGCAGAGATCTTCCATTTAGGTCTTATTTTTTTTTTCCCCCAGGGTGTCTTGGCTTTCCATGCCTAAAATACTCTCATGGGCTTTTCAGCTGGATCCACATGCCTTAAGGGCTGATTCTGAGGCCAAAGTGCTATTTAGGACATCTGCCATTCTATGAGTCTACTGTGTATCCCGCTTCCCATGATGGATCGTTCTCTCCCTTTTTGATTCTATCAGCTATTATTAGCAGACACTAGTCTTGTTTGTGTGATCCCTTTGACTCTTAGACCTATCAGTGTGATCAATTGTGAACTGAAATTGATCACTTGGACTAGTGAGGTGGCATTGGTGCATGCCACCTTGATGGGATTGTATTGGGATTCCCTGGCATGATTCTAACTCCACCATTTGGGGCAAGTCCGATTGAGCATGTCCCAAATTGTACATCTCCTCCCTCCCTTATTCCCACTCTTATATTTAACAGGGATCACTTTTCAGTTAAAATTTAAACACCTAAGAATAATTGTGTGTTAATCACAGAGTTCAACCAATAGTACTAGAACAAAGCAGAGAGAAATTACTAAAATGGATAAAGTATTACATTGTACATCAACAGTCAGGACAAGAGCTGATCAAGTCACTGTTTCTCATAGTGTCCATTTCACTTCAACAGGTTTCCCCTTTGGTGCTCAGTTAGTTGTTGCCAATCAGGGAGAACATATGATATTTGTCCCTTTGGGACTGGCTTAATTCACTCAGCATAATGTTTTCCAGATTCCTCCATCTTGTTGCAAATGACCGGATTTCGTTGTTTTTGACTGCTGTATAGTATTCTATAGAGTACATGTCCCATAATTTCTTTATCCAGTCTACTGTTGATGGGCATTTGGGTTGGTTCCAGGTCTTAGCTATTGTGAATTGAGCTGCAATAAACATTAATGTGCAGACAGCTTGTTTGTTTGCCAGTTTCATTTCCTTTGGGTAAATTCCAAGGAGTGGGATGGCTGGGTTATATTTAGGCTTCTGAGGAATCTCCAGACTGACTTCCATAGTGGCTTAACCAGTTTGCATTCCCACTAACAGTGGGTTAGTGTCCCTTTTTCCCCACATCCTCGCCAGCATCTATTGTTGGTAGATTTCTGAATGTGAGCCATTCTAACCGGGGTGAGGTTTCCTTCTGTTATGAGCTGCTGTGTGTCTGTGCATTCCAAGTGGAAGCACAGAGCCCTACCTTCTGTAGCCTGGCTCACTTCTCACTGGTGGGTGGGGCGGCTTGAGTTTCCAGTACTCAGGACTTCTCCTGTGTACAGCTTGCTTGGTGGGGAAGAAATTCTTCTGAAATGTTGTGGTCCTTGTTCCTGGGTGGGAAGTATGTTGAGGTGACCCCTGCCCCACGATTGATGGGGGTGTGTGTGAGAGGCAAAGTCGTCAACCCCCTGCTTACATTTGAAAATGTAAACAAACAAAATGGCCCCTGCCAGCCAGCTGCAGGTCTAGGTGGGGGAAGGTGTGAGGAGGGAGGTGGGTAGGGAGGTGCCTGACCTCTGTTCCTCTATGCCTTCTCTTTTTTTCCTGCGTGGAACTTCCAGAGCAGTGTGCCAAGCTCTCCTGCTGCTATCTGCTGCTTCGATTTCCTCTCTCACCCGGCCTGCTACTGGCTGGTGCCAACCTCCCCAGTCCGAGTCTCCTCCACTTCCCTTGCCTATTTGCTCTTTTGGTGTGAACCTTCCCAGTCTCTGTTGCTCTCCTGGGCTTCCCATCGAGAATTTCCCACGGCTCTATCTTCAGTGTGAATCTTCACTCCTTTTTCTATTTTGCCCCGTGTGACTCAGATTATCCTGTTGCTATACTGCCATCTTTCTCCCTCTCCCGTTATTTTTAACTAATTCTTATCATGAGTTTGGCTTTATACATTCTGAGTTCTTTATAAATGGCAGATCACCAGTCATGGGCCAGTGTGCAGATTCTCCTTCCCTGAGGGGTTGTGCAGCAGTAAACAACCACCAGCTTCACTTCAGCTCAGGGCTCCTCAACCTCGCCCGGGAGGAGACCCTGCTCTGGCCTCCAGTTGTCTCACTGCAACTGTCGCTTGAATTGTGTGAGGCCCTGCTGTCCCCAGAGCTGCATGTGCTGTTGTACAGCTGAGAGAGAAATAACCAGACGAGATCTGATAGCTTTGTCAGCTCATGTTTACCTAAAATTCCATCAGGTTACTTAAGAAGTAAGATGTTCACACACACACACACACACACACACACACACACAGTTGTGCACCACCGCCTGTAACACCTACATCCAGTATCGGAGTGTAGGTTCCAAGCTTGGTTGCTCCACTTCTGATCCTGCTAGTGTGGCTGGGAAAGCAGTGAAAGATGGTCCAAGTGCTTGGGCTCCCGCACACACCTGGGAGATCCAGATGGCATTCCAGGCACCTGGCTTCAGCCTGGCTGTTTGTGGCCATTTGGGGATTGAACCAGTGGATGGAAGATCTCTGTCTCTCCCTCTCTGTCACTCTTCCTTTCAGATAAATTTAAAAGTTTCAAATCCTTGAAAAATAAGATTCAGGTAATATTGAAATAGTACTTAAGATTAACACTGTAAGATACATTAATAGCTTTTCTCTCTTATTTCCTCAAGGTTTTATGACTTACCTAGTGGAGCCTTTATTTACAGAATGGGCCAGGTTTTCGAACACAAGGCTGTCCCAGACTATGCTTGGCCACGTGGGGCTGAATAAAGCCAGCTGGAAGGGACTGCAGAGGGAACAGTCCAGCAGTGAGGACACTGATGCTGCATTTGAGTTGAACTCACAGTTATTACCTCAGGAAAATCGGTTATCTTAACCCCAGAACCAGAGGGACAAACTGCCTCCTGGAGGTTTCTATAAATGTGAAATGGGGTCTTGAGGTGAGAGAACTTACTCTTGACTGCCAAGGTTTCCAAGTGAATGATGCCAGCATTATTTATTTCCAAGACTTCCTCTGTTGGATCATTTAAGCCCACTTTTTAATTATGAGACCTGAACCCACAGCAATATGCATTGGCTTTTGTGTGAAACCTTGAATATGCAAAGCCCAGCAGGCGAGAGTACTGAAGGAGCCTGGAAGGCTGGTTTGAGGTGTGCCGCGTGGTTTTCAGAGCATTCTTCTTCAAACCCTGAAACTTGAACAGAATCTCTGAGCAGCAGTCTCTTGGAAGCTAACCAGTCTGATGGAACAGTGTGTATCTGTACCTTCCACTAAGTTCTCTCTGAGAAAACGGAAATGTGAAGTGCCCAGCCTCTGCTGCCTCCGGCAAGACTCAATGTTTACAAATCAACTCTGAAAATATTGGTTCTAAATTGCCTTGGAGCACGATTGTGAAGGAACCACTAAAAAACAAAACTTAAAGATCAAACTTTTAGACTGCAGCTCTTTCCCCCCTGGTTTGCCTTTTTTTCTTCTTTGGATGCCACCAAAGCCTCCCATTTGCTAGTTTTACTTTGTGCACTGGAAACTGAGCATTTATCATAGAAAACCGCCAAGCTTTCCCTCCAGTGCTGTTTGGCAATGCAAATTTAAAAAAAAAAAAACTCTTAGTTTTTAATTTGGGGTGGGAGGGGGAGAACACCAGTGTCCTAGCTGTCCTCTGATTGTGCAGTGGAGACATTGCATGTTGTTTTCACTACTGTACACTTGACCTGCACATGCAAGAAAAAGGTGGAATGTTTAAAACACCATAATCAGCTCAGGGTATTTGCCAATCTGAAATAAAGTGGGATGGGGAAGTGTGTCCTTCAGATTAAGGGTACTAAAGTCCCTTTCGCTGCAGTGAGAGGTATGTTGTGTGTGGATGTGTGGGCGTGTGTTTGCGTGCATGTTTGTGTGTGTATGACTGTGCATGTGTTATGTTTACCCATGTGGGAAAGGATTGGAAATGTAAGCTTTTATTTATTCTTGTAGAATGTGACATAATGAGCAGCCACACTTGGGGGAGGGGAAGGTAGGTAAGCTGTAACAGATTGCTCCAGTTGCCTTAAACTATGCACAAAGCTAAGTGACCAAACTTTTCGTTTTGATTTGAAAAAAAAAAAAAAAAAAAAGTGCATTGTTTTCTTGTCCCTCCCTTTGATGAAACGTTACCCTTGATGGGCCTTTTGATGTGAACAGATGTTTTCTAGGACAAAAACTTAAGGACTAATTTTAAACGTAAAACATTCCACTTTTGTAATTTGTTTTAAATTGTTTTATGTATAGTAAGCACAACTGTAATCTAGTTTTAAAGAGAAACCGGTGCTTTCTTTTAGTTCATTTGTATTTCCCTTGTTACTGTAAAAGACTGTTTATTAATTATGTTTACAGTTTGTTGCAACAGCCATTTTCTTGGGAGAAAGCTTGAGTGTAAAGCCATTTGTAAAAGGCTTTGCCATACTCATTTTAATATGTGCCTGTTGCTGTTAACTTTTGATGAATAAAAACCTATCTTTTCACATTTTTATCTTTGATATTTACATTGTAACTCAGTCCTTTGGAATTCACAATACTAAATGACTAGGAAGTCAGACTTAGCTTCTCGGCTCTTGCATTCGCTCAGCAGAGGCTTACTCAGTTGGAGCTGTGTGCAGGCACCATCCTAAGAGGTCATCTGCCATTATCTATCTGCACCTTGTGGTGTGCAGGCTGAGGCCCGCCCTATTGCATGGTTTGCTGAATGCTGACTGATGCAGCGGTGGAAGCCAGCTGTGAGCCAGGGCTCTTGAGTCCACAACATTTTCTTCCCACAGTTGGGAACTGCAGAAGACATCAGCACTCTTGTAAGTACTAAAATACTAGTTGTATTTATGTCTCTCATTGGCCATTTTAAAATAAAGCAGTAAGAAATGGCGCCTTATTCTGCTTGTTTGATAACCAGTGTAAAAAAGGTACTCCTGGGCCTCCCCCAGGTCTTTCCACATCCAATTCATTAGAAGGTATATTGAGCCGATTTTGAAGTCAAATGTATCGTTGTTTGTATAGAAGAGTGAAGTCCAATAGAAATATTATGGTAGCCACAGAAACAATTTTCAATTTTCTAGTAGCCAATTTAGATGGAATATTTAATATTTATTCTCATGTAACCAAAACATTTTACCATTTGAAAACATGTAGCCAATATAACAACTGAGATGTTTTGCCTTTTTTTTTGGCACTAAGTCTTTGACATATAACATGTATTTTATATTTGTAGCACATCTCAATTTATGCTATGCCACGTTTCAGGTGCCCAGTGTTCACGTGTAGCTAATGGCTACTGTTCTAGATGAGGTGGGTAGAGACCTGAGGTAGCAGAGTGGAGTGTTACCTGGGGAAGGTCAACTGGCTGCTAACATGAAGTGACATCACTGGGCAGGTTTGATTTATCAGAGAATGATAATGATCTTACAAACTCACAGACCTAGTTTGTCAGTACAGGGAGAGGAACCATCATCTCATGGCCCACCATGCAAATCAGTCTCACAGTAATTGATATTTTAAAAGTAGTAGCAGCATTTTAATTTACAGTGAGACATGTGACTAAGACATGTAACTATCAGTCATCCCCTCCCTTTAGGCCAGTCTTTGGAAGCCAAATTATCATCAGCCAGTTACTTGGTGAGCATGGATTCTGAGCAAAGGAAGCAAGTTACCTCACGCATCCATCCATCCATCTCCCTGGGGGGATATGCCTGGTGAAATTCATATTTGTGGACCAGGGTTCCCTCCTGCCCTGGAAGATGCTACAGATTCTCTGTCAGTGGTTACTTCTGAATGGCAGATTCATGAGCTACACTGTCCTCAGCCTTGCTTCAGTGCAGCCTGCCCTGGGCTCCTTTCTGCTTGTATGGGACTGCCTATTGCCTATTTCTCTGATCCATGTGTGTGTGTTCGAGTTATTACTCAAAGCATGATCTTGTTATTTCCACTTCCTCAGGGGAACAGTTCAGTGTTCCTGCCAGCATATTAAATAAACCCACTGAAAAACTGTGTTGTTACATATATGTGAAAACCACCTGTAGCCTTGTTGCTTAAATACAACCTGTATTCCTTGAACACTGATTTTTTACAAAAATTTGAGATATTTAGATGACATATAAAAATGTAAGTGGGGAACTTCAAAATTTGTGGAAAATAGAATTGTTTATTTTGGTACAAAAAAAGATGTACATCCATGGAGGTCTTCAAAAGATTCATGGAAAATGTGTATTATGAAGAAACTATGGATTTCAAGGCTTCTGTACCAAATTTACCTCTTAATCCCATTCTTCCACAAACTTTCTGAAGTGTCCTTGTATTATTATGGAACAGAATGCATAATCTACATAAATTTTCAAGATAAAAGAGGAGATTCCACAGCTTTATAGCTGTCCTCTGGGCCCAGCACTGCAGTAGTGAGGGAGTCCGCACTCCTAGGAGTAAAATGTCCTTGGGAGAAACCCTTGACAAGTCTTTGCTTAATTAAATATATATATCTATATAAATATGTATATATAGTTTCTGGTCAAAATTTGTACATGTGATGGCTTGTAATGACCATTTTATATAAAAGAATTAAAATTTTATGTCCTTTGCAAACTTGAAACATATTTGTACATGAAGTACAGGGAAAGATTCCAAAAATATTGGCTTTTATTAAGCTTTCTAAATTTTTTAAAGATTTATTTATTTATTTGGAAGGCAGAGGCAGAGAGAAAGAGAGATCCGCTGGTTCATTCCCTAAATGGTTGCAACAGCTGGAGCTGTGCCGATCTGAAGCCAGGAGCCCAGGAGCTTCTTCTGGATCTCCCACGTGGGTGCAGGGGCCCAAGGACTTGGGCCATCTTCTACTGCTTTCCCAGGCCATAGCAGAGAGCTGGATTGGAAGTGCAGCAGCTGGGTCTCAAACTGGTGCCCATATGGGATACTGGCATTTCAGGTGGCGGCTTTACCCACTACGCCACAGCACCAGCCCCAACTTTATTTTCATAAAACTTTAAAAACATTCACATTACAGGTTTCCAATGTTTTTCAGGACATAAATAAATGCCAATTAAGAAAATATACAATGACCACAAAGTGAGTATGTTTTCAGTATTACTTTGAAAGAAATGTCAGCACAGCATCAGCATACATTTGGAACAAAGTGGTATTGACTTGTGCCAGACTTAGTATGCAGCCACTCCTTCACCAGGGACCTGCAGGTGACCTGTGTCATTGAGAGGACCCCAAGGGTCAATGGTCTGTAGGTGGGACAGCCACTGGAGCCCTCACAATGGATCTCCTCGTTCCTGTGATCAACACAGGGCTGGCATAAATTGGGCCATCAATAAATGTTTGCTGAACAAACTAACTTGAATTTAATGTGTTTCAGTTTTTCAGTAGGAGAAATTTTATCAAAGCTGGTTTGTCTTTGCGGAAGTCATGTGGTAAGCAGTATCTGAGTTCCTGTTGTGTGCAGAACATGGCACTGGATGTAAGAAAAGTGGTATTAAAAATTACACAGCATGGTTTATCAAAATGGGTGACTGTGTACAGACTTTCATAATAGGTTTCCATAAGTGTACAAAATGAGTAATGTGTTGGGGTGTTACTTAGGAGGGTGGTTTCATTTAGTGATTAAAATAATCTCATAATTTTTTATCATTAGTAATGTGAAAATGATTTGATTCTAATGTAGAGTTTTAAATGTTCAATATGAAACTCAGTGTAGTAGTATGGTGATGGTAACAGACTTCCATTCCTGTATTGGAACTACAACAATTATTTTTAAGCTCTAATTTGAAATTTTTTTTAAAAAAGACAGATTTGAAGTATTTTTGTATTGCTGAGCCATGACAAGTCCAGGCAACTGTGATGATATTCCGAGGTAAGTTCCCTCATCTTATCTGCAATTTATAAAAGTTCCATATGAAGACAGACTTTCTGAAGGCAATATTGTGAAGGAATGTCTTAGTGCGGTCAGTTGCTATCACAAAGTACCACAGACTGGGCGACTTAGAAGCAATACATTTCTCATACCGAGAATGCTCTGGTTCTTGTGAAGGCTGCTTTCCAGGATCAGACTTGGCGACTTCTGGTTCTACCCTCATGTAGACAGGGTAGAGGGCCAGCTCTCTCCCTCTCATAAGACCACCAGTCCCATCATGGGATCACCACCCTGACCTTAATTTACCTCCCAAAGGCACCACTTCCTAATACCATCCTGTTGAGGGGCAGGGGATGGAAATGGGTAGTACACGAACGTGAACTTACTCACACCGCCCAAAGTTCCTAGTGAACACCTGCAGAAAACAACTCTGCAGTTTGCACCTTGGAGTCATTGCAAGCTAGAAGTCGGGTGTTTCCGTCAGAGGGCTGAGACTGATTCCTTCAAGTTCTTTCCACTCTGATCAGGATTCACGTGCATGACAGAACCCTTGTGAGTCAGGGCTGTAGGAAGGAGAACCTGGCATCTAATGTGAGATGGCCCCTCTTACTGCATCTGGGCGTTCTTTTACCCTCCTCCTCCTCTTCCCATTTCTTCTCTACCTAGCAGTTTTTGCTCAGGAAGGCAATATATGTGCAATTTTTAAAGCATTGTCTCAACACTCTGCCAGGCGTGGGCTTGGGTGCTTGGGAAAGTTACCCAGGCTCTTGAGTGGCTGCTTAGCCTGTGGCACATCACAATAAAATTATGCACTGGCACACAGTAAGTGCTCAGTGGCTGCTCTGAGTATTTGTTCTACTTCATGTCCTCATCATTGCCTTGTAGAAGCTCCTCATGGATACAGCATACCTCAGGACATCCTTACTTGAGCTATGCACATTCTGGACAGAGAATCTGACTTGTATGGCTCATCAAGGCTGCGTCCTTGGTCACAGAGCTGTCTGCATTGCCAGGGTGTTCCCACTGCAGAATGGTGGGGCAGTGGATGAGGAGTATCTGAAGATTCCAAGCAATGCTTGGCACTGGGGTACTTTCTACCCTTGTTGCTAACACCAGTGTTTCAGAATGACTTCTCAACCTCAGCATGTCACCTGGTTTCCACAATGTAATTCCCTGGGGGAATACACCTTCCTTTCATTCTTCCATTAAAAAGTCCATATGGCCAAAGAAGAGAGCTGGCCACTAGGCAGGGTTAACTTTTTTTTTTTTTTTAAATTAGGCAGACAGTGAGAGAAAGATCTTAATTTCCGTTGGTTCACCCCCCAAATGGCTACTATGGCTGGTGCGCTGTACCTATTAGGAGCCAGGTGCTTCTTCCTGGTTTCCCATGTGGGTGCAGGAGCACAAGCAGCTAGGCCATTCACTGCCTTTCTGGGCCACAGCAGAGAGCTGGACTGGAAGAGGAGCAACCAGGACTAGAACCCCGGTGCCCATATGGGATGCCTGCACCGCAGGCGGAGGATTAACCAAGTGAGCCACGGTGCCAGCCCCGGCAAGGTTAACCTTAACAAGCTTTTTTACGCCTTCAGTAAAACTCCTGTTAGGAAGAGTCTGACCTTTCTTCCTCAAATTAACTTTTTCCAACTGCAAAGAAAGTAACTGAGAAATACTGCCCCATGATAGTCGTTCAGTACAGAGTGGGAGCATATTTGGGTTAACATTAACCTTCTGAGAATGTCTAAATTACACTCATACTTGAAGCAGAATAATTTACCTGAGAAGTTTCAGCTGTAGAACTTTTAAGGCTTCTAGTACAGGTGAACTACGGACAGCAGTCAGAGAGATGTAGAAAATTTCTAGATCCTTACTTGGTTATGCTATTCCTGTTATCCTGTCTGTTCTGAAGGGGTAGCTGTAGCCAACGAAGAGTAAGCCTGTTTACAAGGCTTACAAGTCAAGAATGTTAAATCTGAAGATAAGGCCAACATAGGAACTGAGCCCTCAAAATGGATGGAGGTTCAAGAGACATACTGAAGCAATAATGGGCAATATTTCTTGAGACCAAGTGTCTCATTCTACCTGGAAATCCCAGGGCTGATTTTTTTGGGTGAACACATAAAAGTTTAAACTTATCTGCCAGGTTCTATCCCATAGCAAGGACTTTCTGGAAAAGTCACCGAAACAATTTTCATTATTACTTGTGTCTTCCTTTCCACCACAGATACAGACTCAAATTCCTAACACAGCAAAAAGAACCAGGTCTAATGCAGTAGGGTAGGTGACTGGGGAGACAACCAGAATAAAATTTAAGTCTTACCCCATCCCTGTGCAAATAGGATGACACCTTTCACAGGTGCAATGGGCCATATTCTAGGAGAAATCATGCTATTGGAAACAGGAGACTTTGCCTAGAAGAATACAACAGTAATAATGATTGTTTAGCACTTTTTTTCATAGAATGTGTTAAAAAATTATTATTTCCTCAATTTTGTGAGCTGAGTATTTTTTTTTTAAGTATTTAAAAAGGGGGCGGGGGGTATGACTTGGCCATGATTTCTAAAAGCTCTAGGTCCAGCGGTCTGATTCAGTTTTCTGTCTCCTTGCTGCTTGCCTCTGTCATCAAGAATGAAGGTCACAAGCCAGCGCTGAGGCTCACTCACTAGGCTAATCCTCCGCCTTGCGGCGCCAGCACACCAGGTTCTAGTCCCGGTCGGGGCGCCGGATTCTGTCCCGGTTGCCCCTCTTCCAGGCCAGCTCTCTGCTGTGGCCAGGGAGTGCAGTGGAGGATGGCCCAGGTGCTTGGGCCCTGCACCCCATGGGAGACCAGGAAAAGCACCTGGCTCCTGGCTCCTGCCATCGGATCAGCGCGGTGCGCCAGCGGCAGCGCGCCAGCCGCGGCGGCCATTGGAGGGTGAACCAACGGCAAAGGAAGACCTTTCTCTCTGTATCACTGTCCACTCTGCCTGTCAATATATATATACATACATATATATATATAAAGGCAAATACACCATACTTAATAAAAAAAAAAAGGTCACTCAACTAGTCAGAATCCACTGTAGACAACATTATACCAACTTACCTTTCAACTATAAAATGTAGGGGTTTAATTATTTTTAACTTTTGTTTCAGATGTTCTCTTGGCTGTGAGCATCCAAAACTGAATGATACAGGTGTGACAGAAGATGGGAAACTGATCTCACCATCCCATCAGTGGATCACGAGCGAGCTTTGCCTCCTGTGACCACCCTTCTGTTACAATGCTGGTGCCCCTTAAAGAGGAAACGTGGATGAGAAGTGATACAGCTGATTTTTTTTTGAAATGTTACATCAGAAGTTTCACCCTCCAATCAAGGACAACCATCCAAAGCTCCCACACATGTACAGCTTTTAATGCCAGTTCTGATACCACAGTCAAACACAAGGAAAGGACAAGATGGATCAAGCAAAATGGCAGAGTTCAAACACCTTAAGTGGACATACTTGCAACATTCAAACCTCTCACTCTTTTTTATGTGCATAGTTTATTTGGTACATCTAATTAAACTTTACAAAAATGAACTGACCAGGAACAGCTCATTTAGGGTCCACCTGTATTCCAGGTCTAAAATGATTTACAAGCTGAATGTCCCTAATGCAAAACCCAAAACTTTCTGAGCACTGACATGATACCACAGGTGGAAAATTCAATACCTGAACTCCTGTGACAGGTAACAGTCAAAACACAGGCACAGTAAAAATACTGTGTAAGATAACCTTCTGGCTATATATATAAGGAGCATATGAAATATCCCCAAGATACTTCACTACGTATCACAAATGTTTTAAGTCTGAAACATTTCTGGTCCTGAGCATTTGATACAGCTTATTTTAAGGAATATATAGCCACATGAAAATGGCAAAAAGGAAATTATTCTCAAGAAGCTACTTGTGCAATATAAAAGAAACGTACAATAAAATGAAAAAAAAATATATAAAATAAGCAGCACAGCCCAAGGAAAATAAAGGTTTGCTTTATTTTAAAACAATAACTAATTGAAGCACTAGCCAAAATTCAATACTGATACAAATATAAGTTTCTTGGGAGGTCAAAATATGTCAGGCGAATTTTCCTAACTTTTTGAAGGCAGAAATTTTAAATATAAAACAATTAGAAACAATGCAAGAATATGTAAAATAAGCCAGTTTAAATTTAGCTGAATAAACAAACCATGTAAATTACCTCAGTTTTTGTTAATACTTAAGGAGAACAACATAAATTTTTAAATAACTTAAAGGTGAATGTCTATTCATGTTTCTTACTCCTCCCAGGAAGTATAAATGGTTTTTTTTTCCCCTAAACTAGATTTAAATAATACAAATACTTACTCATGGTAGGAGATTCTGGCACTAACTATAGCTGAGTTTATCAGAAACAGAAAATCATGTGAGCTTATTAAGCATTTAAAAGTAATCACTTACAGCAAGTCCTTAGAAGCCCTAGCTTAGAAAGGCAGGTCTCCACTTTCTAATAACACCTAAGGTTTATACTGCATAATATAATTCATTGGAGCAGCATTCTATAAATGACAAATAATTTATAGAAATTTGCCTATTCAATAATGTTTCATTAAAAATTTTAATATTTGGCCAAAATATTAACTTTATAAACTCCATTATGCTGACATCTCCAGAAGTATTAAATTAGCAACATGTCACCTTTATGATGCCATTCATGAAACAGAAAAGAAAGTGGTACGTTTCTAGTTTTTAGTTAAAAAGGGATTTAATTCAGCAATATGATTTGTCCCTGTTTGGAAAATTACATTTTCATCCTCAGCACTGCATGGCAATGAGGCAAAAGCAGCTTTCCTTCAGTGGAAGGCATTGTGGAATTTGAGCGTTGAACATCATCTGGTTCTTACTCAAACCCAGCTCCAAAAAATGTGAGAATCTAAGATATAAGTTCTGTTCAAGGCAAGAAGATTCCAATCTCAAATATTTCACTCCAACAACTTATGTTATAGCAGCTGTTACATCACTGAATCGGAAATGATCACAGAAAACAATGATGGTAACAGTACCCTCCATTGCTGTCATCAGTACTAATTTTTACATAAACTGTCTTACATCCAAATATATGCATATAAAACATTTGAATAGATAAATTAGTGTTAATTTAAAATGCACAGTAACATTCACAAATGTCCTTCTAAATGTTCTGAAATTGTACAAGTGTTTTAAGACTGAAAACCCGAACATCCTGGCTACACATAAGCAACAGGTCAGAACTGGCAACACTACAGAGTTCCAGAACTGACCATGTATCAAAGCAAAAACCAAACATCTAGTACTTTTCGTTATTGCTTCGTCCTCTAATTAGGTTAAAAAAGGAGACCACTGAATACTAAAGTCAGGATTTACTAAATAATGTTGATTTCTACTAGCCAAACACAGCCCTCAAAAACCAACAGCTGAACCCAGGATAGTCTTTCTTAGCATACTGTCTATTAGGAGTTTGAGACATTTTCAATTAAAGCCTTCATTTTTCCTGTAGACTTCAACATATGTGGTCCAAACTAGAAAAGAAACAAACAAATTATAAATAAAGACACTGGTGCATGTAACAGTAATGATATGTCCTCCTCCTAGTCATGGATCAGAGAGGGCTACATATGCTCTGCCTCAAAAACCAAGCAGCTACTGGTCATATTGAAACCTTTATGAACTGATAGTCAATTATCTGTCTTGTTTTACAGTAACCTATCTTTTAGACTTTCATTCTGTTATCTGTCTTGTGTTTGAATGAAAGGCAAAAAGGTTGTCAATTTACTTTCCAGAAAAGAAAATGGCATCTTAGCAATATCCCAATTTAGTCCAATTTTACTTCTTTGAATAAAGGATGAAGGAAGATTCTTCTCTAGTATTTAAAGGGTACTATAGTGTGATGTGCCCTCCTCCTGAGGATAGATACGCACATGTCCCCCATGAACATGAGTAAAGGGAGCGCAGAAATGATCAATTTGTGAGACTGTATGAAATTTGCCCAATCTCCACATGTGACATGGGCATGTGTCACAAGCCACATGTCAAATCTCACCTTCTTTGGAAGACTTCCTTAGGGTATTCCTAAGAAAGTGAGCTTGCTTTGCTTTCAGTTCCTATGTCACAACATAAAAAAATGTTTCTCTAAAATATAAACTTGGGGGAGGGGGCAATGCTGTGACATAGTGGGTAAAGCTGCTGCCTGCAGTGCCGCTATGCCATATGGGCACGGGTTTGAATCTTGGCTGCTCCATTTTCAATCCAGCTCTCTGCTCTGGCCTGGGAAAGCAGTAGAAGATGGCCCAAGTCCTTGGCTCCTGCACCCACATGGGAGACCCAGAAGCTCCAGGCTCCTGGCTTCAGATCAGCCCAGCTCTGGCTATTGCTGCCATTTGGAGAGTGAACCAGCGGATGGAAGATATCTCCCTCCCTCTCTGCCTCTAACTCTACCTTTCACATAAAATAAATAAATCACTACTATATATATATATACATATATATGTATACATATATATATATGTGGATGTGTGTATATTCATATATATGTCTCTATATATAAATAAATTAAAAAAACTTGGGGCTGGCACTGTGGTGTAGAAGGTTAAACCTCCACCTGTGGCACCTGCATCCCATAAGGGCATCAGTTCAAGCCCTGGCTACTCCACTTCTGATCCAGCTCCCAGCTAATGTGCCTGGGAAAGCAGCAGCAAATGACCAAAGTCCTTGGGCCCCTGCACCCATGTGGGAGACTCAGAAGCAGCTCCTGCCCTGATGGTTCTATCTGGGGAGTTAACTAGTAGATGGAAGATCTCAATCTCTTTCCCCTGCCTTTCAAGTTATTTACACACACACAAAAAAACTTACAATAAAGTTTTGCTACATTATACTTAAATAAAATATAATCCTGTATGGAAAATTTACCATTGGAGTTGGCTAAGCAGTGAGAATTGAGATCCCAACTTAATGTTTGCTTTTTTATTTATGTTCCTAAGTTTCAAATTTCCAAATGAACTAAAGTCATAAAAGTATAAATGCAAAGCAAAGATGCCATCCTTTCCCCAGCCAACAGTAATCCCTACTGGAGGGCAAGGACAACCTTGTATCCTATCTTGGTCTTGCAGAGACACAGCTGAATGATTAGTGCTCAGCAGGGTAACAGGAAGGAAACCTGGGTTAATAATACTCACCAACACCGTGTCTGAAGTGGACTCTGATTCACACTTTGGAACTCCTTTTTCAACTTCGCCTGGGCTATCATTTCGATACCGATAGGCAAATTTCTTTTTCAGAGCCTCTGCTATTAGGGCACCAGGGTCAGTAGCATCCACTGGCTTGGGCTTTACATCTTGCTCTGGCCTTAGAAGAGTGAAAAGAAACCAAGGGGACAGGTAGATATGCTGATAACCCTCAGGGAAGCACTCTGCCCACCTTTACATGCCCAACAGCATTTCCCTGGCGTCACAGTTACTCCATAAAGACACAAATACTACTAGCATTGAGAGAGAAACCAATGTAATGCTCAACACAAGGGCATGTAAGAGTCCAATAAAGAACCACTCACTGCATCTCTAGAACGCTGGCTGCACTGTCCTGTCCCTCAGGACAATTAGGATGCCTAGCAACAGCCCTGTGGGCATAGAACATACCTTTGTTCAAGAAATGACTGACCAATCACAATGAAGACTTTACATTAAAGGGGTGACAAAATAAAACAGAAAAACTATATTTTAAAAAACACCTGTAAATTATTTACTTTGCCATTTTTGTATAGCAGCAACTAGTACTTATCTTCTTTAAATAAATATTTAACTATTCATGGCAGTTACACCACGGCTCAAGAAGCCCAGTCCTTCAGTTTTACAAGACATAAATGGAGAAGTAAGAAGGTCAGTGCGTGCTCACCTCTTCACTGCCCGGAGTTTCACACTGTTCATATCTTTAAGGATCTCCAGCATATTTGGCATGTCGGGTTTCTTTGGATTGTTTTTAACCAAAGTCTTTCCAGCATTGGCTTTTTTCTCCTTTCGCTCTTTAATCAGATCAATGGCAGACAGACTTTGGTGGAGCGCTGGGGGAGGTGGGGGTGGGGGTGGGGGTGGAGGCGGAGGGGGTGCTGCTGTGGTAACAGACGCAGTAGTATCTAAATCACCTAAATAAAGAAAAATAAACACTCCTGCTGGTAACAGGCAAAGAAAATGTCCATTTTAAAAAACTTTGTATTCTTAAAAACAATGTCCTTAAAAAGAATCTCAGTTAAGTAAGAAGGCAGATTCAGTTACTTGGTGAATCAGCCATCATTATTCAATCCAAACTTCTCCAAATGAAAATTTCCATTTGACTTAACAAGGGTGTTTTTGTAATATCAAATGTTCAAGTTCGACTGTGGCATAGTTTATCACTTTTAGCAGAAATAAAAAGCAGTGTGTACCACATTATCACCCCCATTTTCAACATAATTTGACAATTTAGACTATGTAACTATTTGAAGAAATTTGTGATTCATTCTATTTTCATATAAGACTTACTGAGCACTGGAAAGTCTACATAACTAGAATGTGTTTGAAAAAAAGTTTTAGATTCACTGTTGAAAACACTTGTGGAAGAAAATAAGTGTTATATTTAATTTCTAAAACAAGGAGTAACTAATTGTTAAAACAGGTTATAAAATAAAAATCAAATTCATTTTCCTACAGAACTGAGAGCTTGAAAAGTTGTTTACTGGGTGAAATGCACTGACTGGGAAAACAGTGGAGGGAGTAGTGTTGAGACAAAGACATTTTGCTCAGAAGATTCATACATAAATGGAATATCTAAACACAAACCTCAAACTACCCCACCATTTACAGCAGTTCTCCTCCTCTGCCAGAAGAGGGAGGTAAAAGCAAAAGAAAACTGAAGTTTAAAAATGACAAGAGGGGCCCGCGTGGCATTGTGGTGTAGCAGGTTGGTCTGCTACCTGCGACACCAGCTGCTCCACTTCTCATCCAGCTGCCTGTTCATGTGCCTGGTAAAGTTTCTGTGCCCCTGCACCCACATGGGAAACCCAATGAAGCCCATGGCTTCAGCTTGGCCCAGCAGCAGCCATTTGGGGAGTGAACATAAATAAATGTTTTTCAAAAGCTAAAAGTGACAAGAGCTGAACGTCAGGGTCCTAACAAATCCCGAATATGCAGTCATTACACCACCGGGACTCGGTGTTCAGAGCTCCTTCATTCTCTGTCCAACTCCACTGGAGTGCCCAGGCTGGAAAAACCACTACTTGCCAGCACATGAGCAGGCTAGGATTTCAAGGCTGTGGCTTCTTTCCTAACGCAATAATGCCACAGTAATAAAAAGCAATGGTGTCAGACCAGGAGTCAGAAAACCTGAATTCAATATCTACTCTGTGTAATAAGAGAAATGATATTAAGCAGCTACTGTGTGCTAAAGGCCTTTCTACATTTCCATTCATAGTAACCCCATTTTAGAACAAGAAAAGGATGTAAAAGGTCAAGCACTTGCCTCAGGATTTGCAGGCAGAAATATTAGCAACCCACGTCCTGACTCCAAACCTAGGCTCACTAAATGGACAGAAACCTATTAGGATACCTCATGTCTGAAACAGTTGGTACCATTATTATGGACAACTAAATTGACCATAAGGAAAACATTCACAACAGCAGCAATTCAACTGCATGGTTTTCTGTGTTTTTCAAATATGCTTCCTAGTCATCTCCTCTGACAGCATCAAGATTGCTCAAAACAAAGACACAAAAACAATCTAAACTTGACAAGGTTCTGTAGCAGACTATGCAAAAGCTCGACAACTGGTTTTTCCCAAGAACTGTTACTGAAGAATAGTCAGATAAGTGCCATTCTCTTCACCTCCAGTTTGCTGATTAAAACAAATGAATGTAGGACTTACAGACCTGCAATGAGGTGTTGCTGCTCTTGCAGGGTGACAATTTTGGCAATCTGAGCTCTGAGAACAGCAAGTTCATTTTCAAGTGCACAGATCTTCTGCAGTGCTTCTTCATTTGCCAGTGTCGTAGTCTTCAGCTGCGACTCTTCTTGAGACAAGTTTGGTGAGGAAATCTGCCTGCCAGGGGGCTTCTCAAAGAAAGGAAGGTCATCCTGGAGGGGTGGCCTTGACCTGACCTCTGTCCTGCAAGGAAAACATAAGGAGCTGTCACAGGTTTTGTAAAGGGTAAAATCATTATCAATAAGAGTATCAGAGATGACATCTAAGAACTAGTTTTTATGGAGGCAGGCATTTGGCATCACACCGCTTGGGATGCCTGCAATCCCTTATCAGCCTCATTTGAATCCTAGCTCCTTCATTTTCAAGTTCAGCTCTAAAAAAAAAAAAAAAAAAAAAGACTTACTTGTTTATTTGAAAGAGTTGCAGAGAGAGGAGGAGAGACAGAGAGATTGATCTCCATCTGCTGGTTCACTCATCAAATAGCCACAACAGCCAGGACTGAGCCATGCCAAAGCTAGGAGCCAAAGTTTCTTCTGGGTCTCCCAAATGGGTGCAGGGGCCCAAGAACTTGGGCCATCTCCTGCTGCTTTCCCAGGCACATTAGTAGGAAGCTGGATTGGAAGTGGAGCAGCTGAGACTCAAACTGGTGCCTATATGGGATGCCGGCACTGCAGGCTGGGGCTTTAATCCATTGAGCCATGGAACTGGCCCCACCAGCTCCTTCTAAACGTGCACCATGGGATGCAGCTGGTGATACCTCAGATCCCTGTCACATGGGTGGCCCAAGGTCCTAGCTTCAGCCTAGCCAAGCCAGGAATGAACCAGGACTTGGCAGATTTCTTTCTCTTATCACTCTGCCTTTCAAATAAATAAAAATATATGAAACTTTAATTCTAAAAATGTAAAGAGAAAATAAAGCACAAAAGAAACTAAATTTAAAAAAAAAACCCTACTTTTCAGGTTTATCTTACCTAAATTCCTCTGAAAGTGCTAAAACAGCAAAGCACTTGTCTACCTCAATTAGCTACATACTGGGGTTCTTATTGCAATAATTCTTCTTAATCTCTAAATAATACACAGAAACCAAAAGTATCAAGTTTCATGAAAATTCCTCCCTACACTCTATCTTTTCCCATTACAGTAATTTAGAACTCTTGGCTACTAGCAATTCTTCATACAAGTGCAAGAAGTAATTATGTTTAGGTTCTAGTTCTGAAGAATACTTTGACAGGTGGGTCTAGTGCTGTGCCATTGAGTAAAATCTCCAGTGTGTTAGAGAGAGAGAAAGAAAACTAACACTAACTGTGATCTTTGCTCTCAGGGGACTGGGGCTTTCCTCTCCATCACATCTAATCTAAACCCAATCAGGCAAATATTAATTTACAGCTAAGGCCACAGGCCAGTATCTCATAGCTAGTGTGGGAGAGCCAATTTGGAGTTGAGAGTTATGAAATTTTTTTCAGGTTATCAATGTTGCTCTTCTTCTATGAAAGATATAGGGATATTATTTAATCCTAACTCATAAACCTAGTTCTTTTAGAGAATACATTATAAGTAAGAAATATGCCCATTTCTGGTCAGACTTTCAGTGTATTAGTTTATCATTACTTTATACTGAGAATGATGAGTACACTTCACCAGCACTGCCCTCTTTCACACTCATGATTACACAGGAAAAGAAAGAAGGAGTGTCTTGACTTGGAGGTTTTTTTTGTTTGTTTGTTTGTTTGTTTGTTTGTTTTAATTTATTTGACAGAGTTAGACAGTGAGAGAGAGAGAGAGAGACAGACACAGAGAAAGGTCTTCTTTCTGTTGGTTCACACCCCAAATGGCTGCTATGGCCGGTGCTGCGCCGATCCGAAGCCAGGAGCCAGGTGCTTCCTCCTGGCCTCCCATGCAGGTGCAGGTGCCCAAACACTTGGGCCATCCTCCACTGCCTTCCCGGGCCACAGCAGAGAGCTGGACTGGAAGAGAAGCAACCGGGACTAGAACCCGGTGCCCATATGGGATGTGGTGCCGCAGGCGGAGGATTAACCAAGTGAGTCACAGCACCGGCCCCTTGACTTGGAGTTTTAAAAATGAGAAAATAACTCAAATTTTTTTCCTTGCTCTCAACCAACATTAACAAATTCTGTCCAATTATGAAAACACAAAATCTGAGTAACTGCACTGGAGTGAGCCCTGACTACCACCCTTTGCCTTAACTGAGAGTTACTCAGATTTTGTCTTTAGCTTACCTTTTGCTGTGGCCCTTGAGGGGTGGGGTGATAAGAGATTTCTTCATTTAGGGCCAGGACTCCTAAAATTGAGCAGAACATTCTGAGGGTGTGTGTGATCATTTACCTGGAGAAGGCAGCTTTTCAAAGGAATCTATGGCTTTAAAAACAATTGGAAGGGCAGTTGGTCAGCCTAGTGATTAATACAACCATGTCGCACATTTGAGTGCCTGGGTTTGATATTTTGCTCTGGTTCCTGACTCCAGCTTCATTATAATGCAGACACTGGCAGGCAGCGGTGATGGCTTAAGTAATTGGATTCTTGCAGCCCAGGTGGGACACCTGTGTTGAGTTCCCAGCTTCAGCCCAGGCCCAGGCTCTACCTTTGTCAGCATTTGGGGTAGTGAACCAGTGAATGGGTATTCATTGTCTTTCTGTCATCTCTTTGCTTCTCAAGTAACTCTCAGTTTAGGCAAAGGATGGTAGTCAGGGCTCACTCCAGTGCAGTGTGTGTTGGCACAGAGATCACTAGTTACTGGCTTATTTCAACAAGCATGTTCCCTTTACTCTTAGTAAAGAGAGAAAGAGAAAGGGACAAAGGAAATTATTTCAGGGCAGCAATGTGCCCAGCTCAAGGACTCCACTTTCCCTTCCAGTTTTGCAGACATGTGACTAAGTTGAGCTAACAAGATCATGGGTAGAATGCTGGTAAGTCATCAAGGAGAACAGATTAAAGGCGATTCCATACAGAAAGTGATTTCATCTTTAGCCTTAGTCTCTTTTTCTTCTGCTGAGTCATGAATGCAAGGCAATGTTTCAGACTCATAGAGGGTCAGGAAATAATCCAGATATGGAAACCAATTTCAAGGACGGCAGAGCCTGGCCAGAACCCTGAGCACACTGTACAGACACAAAAAGGTCCAGACCACCTACCCTTGGATCTTTGATTTGAGACAGAAATAAACGGTCATGAGAGAAAACCAAAGTTTTGTCTTATTTCAGCCACCATTCTTTTAGGTTTCTGTTATATGCAGTAAAAGTTAATCCTTACTGTTAGGAAATGCAAAATAGTAAACGCTATTTTAGTTTTTCCTTAACTGGAAATTGCTATTTTAATACTGCTTGAGAGCTGTAACAATTCTTCATTATACTTTGTGTTTGTGTTTACAAGAACACTTGTAATCCTAGCTTTTGGTATTCACTGAATTCAGGTGTTTTTCCTCAAATCTAATTTGGCTTACAGCCTGTTAAAATTAAGTTGCCATACACAAAGGATGCTTACAAATTGTTTTCTACCTATAACATTTAGAAATGTTACCTACAACATTTTTAAACAACAATATTTGGGGAATATCCTCATTTTTTCCCTGTCCTACCTTACCTGACAACCATAATACCAACTTCATTTTATTTAGAATATTTGTGGGACAGGGAAATAAATGTTTGGCTTACAAAGCTTCAATTACTGTTTCTCTTCTTAGGCCCACACTGGAAAAAATGATGATGAAACTTTCTATAAAAGTACATGAAGAGGCTGGTGCTGTGGCATAGCGGGTAAAGCCGCTGCCTGCAGTGCCAGCATCCCATATGGGTGCCAGTTCGATTCCCAGCTGCTTCACTTCCAATCCAGCTCTCTGCTATGGCTTGGGAAAGCAGTAGAAGATGGCCAAAGTCTTCGGCCCCTGTACCCATGTGGGAGAACCAAAAAAGCTCCTGGCTCCTGCCTTTGGATCTGTGTAGCTCCAGCCATTGCAACCAACTGGAGAGTGAATCAGTGGATGCAAGATGGCTCTCTGCTTCTCCTTCTCTGTGTAACTCTAACTTTCAAATAAATAAATAAATCTTAAAAAAATATGAAAATTACACGAAGGAAAAATTCTCATAAAGAACAGTGCCAATGTCTGATTAAACATATCAATACTTTCTCTGAAAAATTTTATGTAATGAAAGTTAATAGATGACGTGATATGCTCTAATCAATCTGCAATAAAGAAAGTTATTTTAATAAGACATTGAAACTTTGGAAAAAATAATTACTATGGCTCTTTGTCGATGTAACTGACTAAACTATGATTTCTATCTACACTTCATAGGGTAATTACATTTAATATAACATAATCTTACCTAATGTGCTTCTTCAAATACAGTTTTGGTAATGTTTTATTTTTACAGGGAACTGAACAGTATCTTTTTAAAACTTCATGAAAGAACTAGGGAAAATGCTGGTAGGTAGGACAGTGGGAATGATAGCATTTTAATCTCAGGAACAGATTTTAGCAAAGTATAAAAATCTCAAATAAATGCAGAATTAAAGTAGCATGCTTGTGCGCAACTGCAGTGGAGTAAGACAAAGCAGCAGTAACTGAGAATGTGGGTTTAGACTGCAGGGGTGGGGAACCTCTAGCCTACTGGTGGTTTAGGCCCAGAAAGTCATTTGGTCTGGTCCTGTCCAGAGGCAACAACAGCCAGTATTCCAAAATCAATAAATATATAGAAGGTTAAATTTTAAGTTTTGTTGTAGGCAGGCATACAGGATAAAATTGATCAGGTTTGTGAGCTGGAAGACCATGCCTTCACCACGCCCCCTGTGTGATCTCATGCCCTTATCTTACCACACCTGTGCACTCACCTGCCAATCAGACTAATTAACCACTCCCCTTTGGAAGTGGATTAAAGGCCTGGAACATGGTGGGTCCAGCACTTTTTGGCCCTTTTTCCCTTTTTCCCCGGACCTGCTGCTGCCCCTGTGCCTCCGGGAGTGTGGCCTTCGGGCCACCCGCCCCATACTTCCTGGCCTACGTGCTCCTCCACATGGTTGGCTCCTGGTGCTCGGTATGAATTCAGATTCTTCTCTCTTTTAGATAAGGCCATCACTCTCCTATGCATTTCTCTCACTAAATAAAAGCTTAAAACTTATCATTCATTTATGCCAGGATTCAGAATTCTCTGAATATTAGGCAAGAACCC